AGGAATGAAATAACAGAGTAAAATAATAAAAACTTGAGAGCCTCTGATTGTCATTTTAAACCATTCTCAATGTGAAAATAACCTGTTGATAAACGACAAATGAATGCCTAAGTGATTTCTCATAATTGGAATTAATTTTTAATTAGATAAGAAATAAAAAATGCACAAGGTTGTAGCCTAGAGTTGCCAAATAAATGGTAAACAACATTCTGACATTTGAAGGTTATGCTATTTGGCAGCATCTTTTAACATCAGTAAAATTATTTTATCACTTAGAATACAAAAGAGTCCTTTAAATGGCCAATTCCAAGGCAATAATAATTCCCGGTAGGGGCAGAAAAGTTTCCACTTTGTCTCTTAGATCTCCTTTTCCTTTGTCCTTAAGTGTGATAAATTTGCTCTTCCGTGTATTCCTTCTTGCCGTCTAAAGTGTACACCTGCGTTCAGTTTTGCTGAGAGGCAGTCACATATTGTGATCAACTATGAAAATCAGACAGGGAGCCAAATTATATTGCTCTGACATCTGTCCCTCCATCTGTTAGAATTTTAACAAACAAGTATAAAGTAGACCTCTGATTATACCATATACATATGACCCAAAATAACTTCTATATGAGCGAATCTCTACAAATTCCCAGTTTTATTTAAAAAAATAAATAAATAAAGCGGGAGGGCAGGTGCTGCATTTAATTCATGTTCTACTGGACAGTATTTCTATATCACTCCTCCTTATGGGATCAATATACATAGACAAAACACTATTTTCCTACGTCAGCAAATATTCTGTTCTTTCTTATAAACACCTTTGCTTACTTAATGCAGAATGAAGATTTCCTATAATGGGATTACAGCTCCACTCCCCATGCTGAATTTCCCAAGGACTTGAACATGCTTTTTTAATTACTTTGAATAATTATCTTTATATGTTAGTAACTATTGCTCAATAATAGTAAAATGGAAACTTTTTAAGTGCCTTCATTTTTATTCACTTCAAGAGTTGTCAATCAACTCTTATGTGCTCAACATCATATGTGATGAGAGTGTAAAGAGAAAGATCCCTTTATCTTGAATAGGAAACCCCGAGGGTTGGGCATAATCGTGTGTTGACTGAACTAGGGCAAAGCTGGGCACTGGGCAGACGCCAGACGTTGTGGTATTGAGCATGACAGCATCCCACCCACATCGCCCTGCTCGCAGGAGATGCCGGAATATGAACAAGAAAATTAACTCTGAAAATCAAAGACTACTCACAATATGCCGGGTAGTCCAGAAACAAAAAATACACACAAGACGACCATTTCCTCCTCCACACACAACCAACCCAGAGACAAAGAAATCTGTGGAAATTTCCAGCCACCTGTCGGATAAAAATGTATGTCGAATCCCAGTGATGAAGCTTGCTATTAAATTCTCATTTGCAAATCTGCATATGCTTGCCACCCTCCTCCTAATTATTGCAATATATAAATATTCCCTTTCCCTCATTCTGGCTCAGGAAGCTCTACAATTTCTATTTTTATTTCTGCCGTATGTACTAGCGGGGCACTGCCACAGGGTGGTGCACCATGCATATTTAACTGAAGGCTTCTGCAACTCCTGTGAGGGTGCAGCTATAGCCTGTTCTAGTTTCACTTAAGCTGGAGGCATCAGAAATCAGATAGCTCTCTGGGTGATTAAAATAAAAACAAAATCTTCAATCATACAGGTCTGCTCATCTCACGTTATGACTAATTGTAACACATCTCGTGAGCTTTGTCTCTTTGTTGTTAATGTTGGTCCCTTTGGCAATTTCTAAAAACCAAACTACACAAACAAACTGAGATTAGAAGAGAAAATGAGAAGAGAAAACTTACAGAGACCACATGCACCTTGCAAATGAAAACTGCACAGAAATATCTAACCCCTAATGACAATGCACAGCCATTGCAATTAGGAGAATGAATGCATTAATGTTTTTAAAATATTTACCCATCTATGGACCCATCTAATTGTATAACAGAACAGAGACAGTATTTTGTTAGGTAATTTAAGGTGAGTATTGGATTTATTCTTATTATTTTTTATACTGATTCATCTTAATAATAGAGCTGATGAAATGACAAACCTCCTTATTCATATCAAGAACTAAAGTCACATTTCAACTTGGGATTCTAGAAAATCACCACTTTGTCTCTAGAAAGTGTTGACTTAAATGTTGTATTAAACTGTTGTAGAAATGAAGGGAAGAAAAAGACTAAATGTTCATAGCTGAAGAAAATAGATGCCGGTTACTTTGAGGTTAATGGCTAACAGCGATGTTATGTAGAGTGTGAGAGCACAATGGAAAAACTCATCAATATTTCTTCATATCGATTTTTTTGTTCCATTGTTGAAAATGAGTGGCAATGGGAGTAGCGACTAAAGCATTTATCTGAAACTCTTAGATCGATAGAGGTACATGCTGAGACCTACTGGTTCTGCTATTTCTCCCTTTAGCCCGGTCTGCAGATGAACTGTGACAGCCTTTACCCTTCACCCTCCCTTTAACCCTTATTCTTCTCCTTCTAAATCGAGAGGAAAGGAAGAAGGAATGTAGTAGCTCAGTCTCCTAATAGAGAAGGAAATGGAGGTGCCTGCTCAGAGCTTCAGCAGACACACAAAGCCTTCATTTCATATCGAATAGGCAATGAATCTTCCGTGACCAGTTAGGTCTGGGGCAAAGGTAAGCAAGTGCCTTTGAAACTGGGGCGCACTTCTGAAAACGCTGGTGCACCTGGGGTGGTGCAAAGTCAGCTTACTTTTCAAATGTCAAACCTGGGTGAGGTGACTGAAGTGAAATGAGCAGGCTAACCTGATTCTCCTGCAGTAGTGTCAGGGAAGTTGCAACTTCCTGCTTAGCCTGCTTCTAATGCTACGAGTCTATTTGCGGGGATAGATATTAGGCCTGGATTCCATAAATGTCTCTAATTCATGCCTTTACTTTCTAGTGTCCTGAAATTTAAAAACTGGGCAAAAGAGAAAGCAGTTATTGTCTACCATACTGCTTAGGCTCATACCCAAGGATACATAATACCCACAGACTAGTATGTATTCCTGCAATATCCTCAAAAAGTGGTGTCTTCCCGAATCGGCTCCTTTGAAGATCATTAAGGACGCATCAAGAACCTGTCAGGAGTGACTGCCCCGCTTGCGGGGAGCTCACTTCAGCAGAGCACACGTTAGGTGTCCACGGTCAATTTAAAGTTTAAGGTTGGAACTGGAGAGCATTATGCTAATTGAAATAATCCAGTCAATGAAGGAAAAATACCACATGATCTCTCTCATTCATGGATAATTTAGACCATTATAAACTTTTGAACAATAATAGATACAGAGGCAGAGCTGCCTCAAACAGACTGTCAAACCTCAGCGAAAAGGCCGGGGAGGGTTGGGGGGCAGGAGGTAGGGGGGTAAGAGATCAACCAAAGGACTTGTATGCATGCATATAAGCATAACCAATGGACATAAGACACGGGGGGATAGGGGAGGCTAGGGGACTGTCTAGAGCGGGGGGAAAAATGGACACATATGTAATACCCTTTGTAATACTTTAAGCAATAAAAAAAAATAAAGTTTAAGGTCAGTGTGTAAGAAGCTTTGCATCTCAGGGGAGTTCAGCGGCTTGGTTTTGGGACTCCTACCTCTCTCGCAGGACCTGCCCAGGTAGCCTGTTCCGGAACAATCGCAGACGTATCGGTTCCACCCATCCCGGCACATGCCGTTGTTTTTGCAAGGGTTGCTAAGGCACGGTTTCGCTGTTTCCCTGGAGCAGGAGGGCTTCACCCCAGCGGTGCTCTGCACTTCGGCCATTTGCCGGATGTCTTTGCTCTGGCCGTCGATGAACAGATCCCTGATGCAGCCCACGTAGCCGTAGTTGAGCAGAGCAGTCCACACCTCGGTGGGGAAGACGAGGCCGGCTTTGTTTTCTGGGAGGCCCCCCAGGTACAACTCGTCGTCCAGGTCCAGAATCTCACTCTCCCCGGGGGCAGTGTAGGGTGTGCGCAGAGTATTGACAGAAATGGTACCTGTGGCAAAGACAGGAGACACACAGATCTTCACAGCGTGCACCGTGCCCTACATACGCCCCTTTCCTTCTCTCAGGGGCCTCCGGGTGATCTCCTGGAGGGCACAATTTCGCATGTTTCTTTCTATTCCTAGTGTCTTTGTACTTCTCCGTGAAATTAACAGAGACTTGTGGAATTAAGGCAGGCTGTAACTAAAATGATTCTACAGGCGTGCCTCCTTTTATCACAGGTGGCTTTATTGCACATCACAGCTGTTGCACTTTTTATAAAATAAAGGCAAGACCCTCTGCTAGCAAAAGGATGACTCGCTTTATTGGGGTGGTCTGGAACCAAACCCACAATATCTCTGAGGTATGCCTGTATTTGACTTTGGGTATAAAATCCAAAGTGCACAGCCAACACAGAGTGTCTGTCAGCCTCTCATAGTTTAGCCAGAAAGGGAAGAAAGGGAGGAAGTGAAGAAGGCAAGAGAAATTGGCATTCCATATCACTAATAGTCAAGAAAGAAAGAGACAGAGAAAGGAGGAATCGACATGCTGTACCACTCAGGAATAAAGGCAGACTCTCCCTGGTTAGCGCTCGTTTTTAAAGCTGGTGTGCACCTGTGAACTAAGGAAAGATCATGTGCATCCATCTTAAACTGACTTGATTGACTTCACTGAATATAATAGTTTGACTGATTATCTATGTCAACACCTGACTTAATCACTCTTAGCCACATGAATCAAGCAATTAACTGCTAAGGTCTTGGTTTACTCATTCCATATATGGGCATAATACTATGACCTACTTCACACGGTTGTTCTGAGTATTAAGTAAATAATACTAGTAAAGTATCTAAATAAGTGCTGTGTCATGATTAATCACAAGAACCAAGTTAAATTTGCTGTTTATTTTTTTTTAACTTTTTAAAAATTAATTTTAAAAAGAGGAAAGGAGAGAGAGAGAGAGAAACATTGATCAGTTGCTTTCCACATGTACCTCGACCAGGGACTGAACCCACAACCCGGGTATGTGCCCTGAACAGGAATTGATGCCCCACCTTTTGGTGTACGGATGACACTTCAACCAACTGAGCCACACCAGCCAGGGCTGCTGTTTACTTTTTAAAAATCAAACTAGTTACTTATCTAAATTGACAAATTTTCCCTGCTCACTCCAAATATAAGAAGAAAATAATTCTATTAGTTTATAAATATACAGGACCCTGGCCCTAAGCATAGCAGGAAGAGTAGACATTCACATGGGATTCCTTGAGGATCACAGAAAAATACTTGTGGGATCCATTAAAAGAAGAAAGAAGGGGAAAATAAAGAAAGATGGAAGACAGAGACAATCAAAACTTCTCTCCTGTACCACCAGACTACTCAAATTCCCACCAATATTCTATCTCCAGAACAATCTTCGTAAAAGTGCAAATATGATACTGGAAAAGACCACCACACTGACCCATGACTGGGATATCCCAGATTTCTCTCAGGTCTAGAGCTTAAAGCCTAACAGGAGGAGTCTGAAGAGAGAAAGTGGATTAGAAAACATCTGGTGCCATGCCAGCCACTGACATAGAGCCTCGGGGATTTAGGGGGCGGACACACAGGAGAGGCCTAAAGACAGAGGATGGGGACAGGCAGGGGAAGTGTACTGTGGGTAGGAAGATGCATTTCAGTTGTTTCATGGAATACCTGAGACCAGCTCCACATGAAAATACGGCCTGTGATGAATGTGAGACATGCATCTAACTGAGGGCACAGCTGCTGCCTTTGTATGGTGCCAGGGGCATCCCAGGCCCCAGCAGAGGGGCGCTCCGCAGCACGGGCAGTGTAATGGGCTCTGTCTGTGTGAGGGAGGAGGGCGTGGGAGCCGCTGACAGAGACGGTGCAGGTGGCCAGGTCATTAGAGGACATCTGTCTCTCTAGACTTCCACAGAATGAAATGAAGAAAACTCCTAGGGGAGAAACACTCAAAGGTATTGCTATTCTGGCCTTCCAACGAGGAGCGTGTAACCATCATTTCAGAAGGAGGCGGCAAAAGGGAAAGCGACAAAGTACTCATTTTTACTGTTCACATCTGTGCAAGCATCTAGAGGAAAACTCATTTAGGGACAAGAGGTAGCATGAGATCCTACTGAGAAAAATATAAAGCGTAGCAATCTGTGGAAATGAGAGGTATAATTTTGAGAGAGTGAATGGTGACACTTCTCTAAATAGAATTTCATTACATATATTTTTAACTGTCCAACATGCCCAACAGGAAGCAAGTTAACAGATGATCCCCTCTCCCACAGAGCAGCTAATGTTAAGTTAGAAAATGATGAGACAGGGAGTGCTAATGACAAAAGAAAAGGTGGACGTTAAAAAGAAATGTACTGCCCTGGTCCAGTAGTTGAGTTGATCAGAGCATCATCCAGATACACCAAAGTTGTAGGTTCCATCCCCAGTCGGGCCACATACAAGAACCACCCAATGAGTGCAAAAATAACTGGAACAAAAAAAAATCAATCTCTCTCTCTCTCAAATCAATAAATAAAAATTTTAAAAAAACATACTGTATGAGAAAAGCAAAGAGTTGCATGGCAAAGGATTGGGTGCAATGAACATGGTGACTTGTGTTTTTAAGACAAAAGGGTAACACCCCTTCTTCAAATTAGTTCAAGAAGGCCAACTGGAAATCTATAATAATAATAAAAAAGCATAATATGCTAATTAGACCGGACGACTTTCTCGGGCTGTGAGGGAAGCCCGGGTCCAGAGTGCCTGCCAACGGCTGGAGGGAAGCCCAGGTCCTGGGTGCCAGAGGGAAGCCGGTGCTAGCAGCTGGGGGAAGGAAGGTCTACTCTTGCACGAATTTCGTACATCGGGCCTTTAGGGAATATATAATATTCAGAGAGAGAGAGAGAGAGACACAGAGCAAGTGAACAATAAAAAAGTTTTACAAGAGTGGAAATATGTTCTTAAAAATATGTAACTTTTCCCACATGCCTTTTTTATTCATGGGACTAACTTGTTTTAGCTCAGGGAAGAAAAGACAACACCTGGAGAAACTGTATTGTCCTTATTCATGATGTTTTAAGTCTGACACTAAGAGGATGCTTGAAGGATCCCTGAGATGAGGAAATTCAGTGGTTTTCATAACACCCACTCTCTTTGACTCCCACATAGTTCCATAGCTGGGTGCACCATGCAGTTTCCATATTCAATGTGCCCACACTCTCAGGGGCAACACTGCTGCCAGGTACTTCTGATAATCACCTATGAACTGTTAGACAGTGAGAATGTGTGACTAGGTCTCTGGATTTTACTTATAGTGTCTTAGGGTCTGTTTTGAACAAAGCATTGTAAGAAAGTTCAGAGACATTTTCATGAACATAACTTGTTGTGGCCAAACTCTAACTTTGTGATCAGAGTTTTATGACCACACACCTAAAGTTAATCCACAGGTTTCTTCACATATAGCCCAGTGCACACATGCAAACATGCTTACACACACACACACACACACACACTGGAACAAAAGTTTAATAGAAAAATATTGAACACTACTACCACTGGGGCAATCTGATATTTTATTTCTATTATATAATTTTATTAATACAAATGCTAGACATGACTCTCCAAATTCACTTCAACCCCAGGTTGTAAAGACACGGATTGAGAGGTTATTATCATAATGATAAGGATGTTCTTCCCCTAGCTCCGTATTATCCCTTTGAGAGACAATTTTAGAATTCTCATGGGAAGAAGCAACAATGAAAGACAAGAAAGAAAGTGAAAGGAATATAATCCAACTTTCAACCCAAATATAATCCAAGGGGAACTCAAGCTTTAATTTAGGCCTAGGTTCAATGTAAGGAGTCACATCCAGTATATGCATGGGCCAGATATCATCCCCAACCTGTTTTTAAGAACATTTCTGAGCATAAATAATAAATTCACATTTTATGTGAAAGTGTATGTAAAAGGGGACAAACTATTGAAGGCAGTTCTTAGTTATAAAAGTCGAAATCAACTTTACAATTTGATCTGCTATTTATAACCTGTTCCTTTCCACTTTTTTTTTTTTCCCATCCAATTTTTCTTGGCTACTCCACTTCAAAAGATTAGCTTACAAGGTGTGAAGAAACATGAAGTGAAGGTGAGATTTAGAATAAGTCTATTTGGTTTCAAGTTTTAAATTACTGTAAAAGTATAAGTGACTGGGAAGTAAGGGGGTAGGAAATGGTGGGCTGTAATGGGAACAGCTTTTGCCTGGCCACAGGAAACCAATTTTCATGCTCCTGCTTTACAACTAACTAGCTGGCAAGTTTAGACAAATAATGGATTCATTAGGCTCCAGTGTGGCTCTTGTGCAAAAATAAAGGAATTGACTGGAGGGTCACTAGGGTTCCTTTTTGAATAAAATTTTTGAAGTTACTGCTTAAAATAATTTTTAGCTAAATATCAATTTTATCAACCAATAATTCTGATACACCTCTCATTGCAGAAGAGAATCAAAACCTGCACACTTAAAAATGTACTTGGCAAATTCATAGTTTATTAACAAAACCAAAATCAGTGAAAAGAGGTAATCCTTTTTTATCGAGCTAATATGCTAATTAGACCGAAGAGCAGAACAAAGGTCTGGACGACCTCCCAGAGGAAACCAGGACTGCGGGGGGGCTGCGAGGTCCAAGCCCCTTGCATGAATTTCATGCATCAGGCCTCTAGTATAAGTGATAAAAGCATAATGGAGTATTAATTATATTGTATAATGCAAAATATAGAATTCTCATAATAAATAGATAGTGGGGACAAAAAAACCCACAACATTAACAATGAAAGTTTTGGAGTATTGGGGCTACGAGTGGATAATTCCTTTCTTCCATCTTAATTTTCTGTGTCTTTTTTTTAATATATATATATATTTTTTATTGAGTTTTTACAGAGAGGAAAGGAGAGAGATAGAGAGTTAGAAACATCGATGAGAGAGAAACATCAACCAGCTGCCTCCTGCACACTCCCCAC